TCCTGTGTGCTTATCAGCGTAATGAGCAGTTAAATTACGCTTGTATCTATAGGTTCTATTGCAAATCATACATTCAAATGGTTTCAGCCCTGACGCGGGTTTACACAGGTGCAAATCATAGGTCGCCTTGTATTTGAAGACAGAATTGCAAACATTGCACTTAAATTTTTGAGCTTTGTGCTTCATAACATGATTTTCAAAGGTCTTCCTGCATTGGAAATGAATGTGGCAAAATTTGCATTTGAACATTTTCCCTCCAATGTGCGTTTTCGAATGAATCTTCAACGAGTTCTGATGTACAAAGCCTTCTCCACAAATTGAGCATTTGAATGGTTTKCCGTTGGAGTGTTTATAAAAGTGGATCCAGAAAGAGATCCCGTTATTCAACATTTCACCGCAAACTGTGCATTCAAACTTTTCAGCTGGCTTGGCAAATGATTTTTCTCCAGTGTGGACCATCGTATGCTTAGTCAGAGAACTTGGATAAAGAAACTCTTTGTTGCAAATTGGGCACTGTGGTTTAGCACTAGTATGCCTYCTTTGCTCTCCATTGTGTTGTTCTTGACAATGTTTCGTGTACGAGCGGCCCGAGTCAAATTCTTCATCGCAAAGCAGGCACTTTAAAACGCTAGTTTCTTTGTGTTCCTGAGAAAAATGCTCTCCTAGAACTTCTCCAGTTTTACATTCCTTATGACAAATGTGGCACTTTAAGACGCATGGATCACGTGTTTTGCGTAGCTGAATGTGATTCTTCAATGACCTTATTCTGGGAAAWCCTTTAAGACATGTGCCACATTTGTAAATTTCTTGTATTTGGCTGTCCTTGTGCATTATTAGACTGTGGCTTTCGATACTCTCTTCGATGTCAAATTTTTGAAAGCAGACATTGCATCTAAATGGCCAGCATTGATCGTGATGGCTTTCTAAAAGGGTCTTCTCTGCAAATCCCATACCACATTGCGTACACTTGTATGGTCTTTCAATGTGCCTCTGTTGATGGCAATCTAAGTCTTGACTATTTGTAAAAGACATTTCACAGAACACACACTTGAAAAMTATGTTTAAATTCTGTATGTCGCTCTGGTTATCCACCTCCTGGTGTGGTGCAACACTGGTGGAATTGACACGGTCTGTAATCTGGTGATCTAATCCATCCTCGTTCCCAGCATGCAGTTCTTGGTGATCCTTCAGCTCCTTCCTCGTGCTAAACCAGATRGTGCAAACAGCACAAAATGGAACTATGGAAGCAAGGTCACTTTGCTGTGGATCATTGTTATCAACTCGTTGTCGCTTGTTGCTGCTGCTACAATCCTGGTTCCCACTGTCACCAGGTTGTTTACGTTTTTGTTGCTCTGTGCTGCTGTCACCATGTTGTTCACTATAACTAAAAYACCTATAATGCTCGTTTACAACAGCAAAATTGGATGTATTGCTAGTATTATCTTTGTGCTTTCTTTCTTGATGACTTTCCAGTTCCTTCTTTGTACTAAACCAGATGGAGCAAATAGTACAAAATGGAACAATGGACCTAAGGTCCGTATTAGTTGAAAGAAGTTCTGGAATTTTGCTGTCAACTTGTTGAARCTGTTGCTCACTCTTATTGTCACAATCCTGCTTGTTGCTGTCACCTCCTCGTTCCTCGTTCCTCTCAGCTTGTAGTTGCTTTTCGCTGTCTGTTAGCTGCTGTCGTTCCAAGCTGTCACCATGTTGATGATGATTATCATGYTGTACATCTCTTATTGTTCTAATAAACCATTTATTACATTTTCTACATTGATGTTCTGTGTTAATACATTTATGTTGCTGTTCTTTGCTGTTGTTAGGTTGACGCTCTAGTATAATTTCACCTTGTTGTAGTTCTTCGCTGTCAATTTGCTGATCTTGTTCTTTGAAATTGCTATGTTGTTGTACGCTTTCATTGGCATGTTGTTGTTGTTCTTCACTGTAAGTAAGTTGTTGCTCTTTATTTTCACCTTGTTGTAGTTCTCTGTTGTCAACTTGTCGATATTGTTCTTTGATATCGCTGTGTTGCTGTACATCTTCATTGCCATGTTGCTGTTGTTCTTTAATGTTAGTAGGTTGTCGCTCTTCTTTATTTTCACCTTCTTGTAGTTCTCTGTTTTCAAATTGTAGATATTGATCTTTGATATCGCT